AATAGTCAGAGGTAAAAATAGTGAATCCATAATTTTTTTGGCCTAAAATGGGAAAATCCAAATATCGGGAGTCTGGACCAGAGGGCGTATCGAATACTACCCAGGAAAACGGCGCTCTAGAATATTTGAAGGAATGGGCTGAACTTCAGGAGATGAGCTGCCAGATCCTACGGAGAGATAGTCGAAGAATCTCTTCGCATGCCCTATACAGAATTCCTCACCCTCACAGTTGAAGAGTACCTGCAGGCTTCTTGCTTCGAAGGGTTGCTTGTGGAAATGGTGCCTTTCAACCATTCAGCAAAAGCCAGTCCGTGGCACAGACCCCCTTTTATCGAATTATTAACATCCTCCTCAAACTTCGTAAATAGCTTATCTCAATATAACCTACAACTATTTTATTTACGAAAACCTTTGGAATTAAGGCGTTTTCAATCTGGAGGGAAGCAAACTTTGTCTATTTAATTAGGCACTAAAAAACTCATAAATACCCATTTGCTTTCTACTCGGATCGTAAGATAATGTGATCACAAAGTAAAAAAAAAAAAGAAAAAAGGAGGCCTTCAAAAATATTGAGCCATTTGGCGTGACCTACGCCCCAATTTTTCAAAATAACGAGGTTATATAGGACAAACGACCCAATATTTTTGTAACTCACCTTTTTTATCGAGTTTGTGATCAATTTGTCTTACGATCCAAGTAGAAAGCAAATTGGTATTTAGGAATTTTTGGTACCTAATTAAATATACAAAGTTTGTTCCCCTCCAAATTGAAAACGCCTCAATTCCAAGAGTTTTCATAAATAAAATAGTTGTACTTACAATGAGATGAAACTATTAACGAAGTTTCAGGCGGATGTTAATAATTCAATAAAGGGGGTCTGTACTACGGACTAAAAGTGATTCAAAGGAACTAAAAAATAAAACAATTAATTAGTTAATCTGCCCTATGGATGCAGACCATCTAGACGCATGTCCTGCCTTGAGGGACATAAGAGACAAAATATTTTCGAATATACATATCAGAAAGTCTAAATTATACTGGGCAGCAAGATGTCGGATGGCCAAATGACCCTAACCAACGACTGGCATAAGAAAAAAGAAAAAAAAAAAAATCTACCCTATTTTTTTATTTTCATTTTGGAAAAAGTTGATAATACGAAATATGATATATTATATATATATTAATGTATAAATATATTATACATTAGCCTATCTAAGTAAACAAAATTGGTGTTTCTGAATTCGCAATGAAATATTATTATTAAATAAACAAATAAAAGTTAAATAATGTAGGCTATTTTATACTCGAATTTTATAGTATTAATATATTTCCATTGCTTTCTTGGTTAGTTTACAAATTATTATTCATTTATAAATGAAGTTAAAGTTTTATTATATCAAAGAGCACAATTATTGCGAAGTGCATCCGTACAGAAATGGGAATAGACTGATGTCGAAGTACAAGATAGGTTCCAATGTTCAAATTTTTGGGTTTCTATAATATATAAACTATTCTATAATAGGTTCCTATGTTAAAATTTAGAAACTTATTTATTAGTTAATATAATAGAACAATTATTAAGTGTTTATGTTCATACATAGTACTAAATAATTTAAGAATTAGTTAATTTAAAAAACAGTGTTATTTGTTTAATAATTTAAACAGTGCCTTATTGCTGAATTGCAGCGTAAATTTTCCATCACTTTCTTGAATAATTTGAAAATCATTATTCATTTCTAGATTCAAGAAGAAACTTTTAATATATCAACGAGCACAATTATTGTGAATTGCATCGGTACATAACTGCGACTAGACTAAGGTCGAAGTACAAGATGTAGGGTACAATGTTTAAAGAGTGGAGCTATTTCAAAATTTATAAATTTATTAATTGTTAACCTAAGTGGATAATTTTTAAATATTTATGCTTATGTTTGTAGAGCATAAATTAAGAATCGGTTAATTTAAATAGCAGTTATATTTATTTAATAATTGGTACAGTAACATGCTTCGAAATTGTAGAGAAATCGTTCTCTTATTTTCTGAAATAGCTTAAAACCATAACTTATTTGTTGATGCAGTTGAACTTCTGATATATCGAAAACCAGTAATCATAATTGAGAACTTTATCATTACGGTGTTGGAACTACACTGACTTCGAAACAGCAAGTTCCAACTGGCAGAGCCACGTGGTGTCCAAAGTTCAAAGTACTGAAGTTAAATTAAAATAAATTTATTTATTTTCATATGAAATCAAGCTGTCGTTTAACTTTTACCTCCATTATAGTATATACATATATCTCTACTTGAGTTATTTAATAGTCGGTAATAATTATTTAAAAATTTTGAATTACTTACTCGAATAGTATGAAAATACATGATTCATTAGTAGATGCAGTTGAAGGCATCATTTATCAAAATACCATAATAAATATAAACTTTTACCTCCATTATAGTATATACATATATCTCTAATTGAGTTATTTAATAGTCATTAATAATTATTTAAAAATTTTGAATTACTTACTCGAATAGTATAAAAATACATGATTCATTAGTAGATGCAGTTGAAGGCATCATTTATCAAAATACCATAACGAAGCGCATCGGTACATGGCTTCTTGTATATCCAAAGTAGAGGAGATAAGAAAATTATGAGGTAAATTAATTTGCTTACTCATCCTAAAGAATTCTATAACATCTATGCACATCCTTGGTGTTACATAAGTACCTTGGAGATATCAAGAACTGGTTTATCGAACAAACAGTATTATTTATTTTCAAAATTTACAGTACCTTATTTATAAAAAAAAAAATAACTTCGATAGAAACTTCCTAGTTTCTTGCTCAGATAGTTTAAATATCATAATTCATTAGGAGATGAAATCAACTTCTTTAATAATGAATAAATATTTCATTATTCCGAATTGCGACGGAAAGAGCTAAGTCTGGAGTGAGGGCGAAGTTTAATATAAATTTATGTATAACATTTTTTTTCTTCTATGAAAGAATATTTAAATTTAGAATAATAAAGACATATAAGTCATAGAAGTATTGTTGCATATTTGAGTATATTTTATTAGTTTTAATTTCATACATAGAGGACTGGTTAATTTAATAAGCATTTATTAAATTCTTCAGTAACTTATTCCATAATAACTAAGGAGCTTTCTCGTTACTTTCTCAAAAATTTCGAAATTCTTATTAGCAGCAACAGACTTCAGTTACATCTGAATTACTATAACTGTTACGAATTTCACTGGTACACAGCTGAGACTAGAATGACGTGCCGATGCAGTATGTCAGTGTTACCACTCGTCAATAATAAATACTAATATTATAATTTATTTTATTTTAGTTCGCGCCTCTTGTCCCGAAACTTAAAAATTAGAATCTATAAAACAATTATTTTGCCTACAGTTCTTTATGGATGCGAAACTTGGCCGCTTACATTAAGGGATGAGCAGCGTCTTAAGGTTTTTGAAAATAAAGTATTGCGTAGAATATTCGGACCGAAGAAGGATGAGTTAACCGGAGAGTTCAGACGGTTACACAACGCCGAATTGCGTGAGCTGTATACGGGTAATATAATTGAGGTAATTTCATCGCGGCGAATCAAATGGGCTTGTAAAGTTGTTGGGCTTAGTAACGAGAGAATTCCTAAAAGGTTAATATTTGCTGTGCCGAATGGTAAGCGTCCGAGGGGTAGACCGAAGCGAAGGTGGGAAGATTGCATTAAAGCCGATCTGAAGGGACTGGGTTTGGACGGCGAACGGTGGAGGGAGGTGTGTAACAAGCGATTGGTGGTGTCGGCATCGAACCTTCGGGTTCGCTAAGCCTTATTACTATTATTATTATAATTTATTTGAGTTCTACCAATGGGTAGTTTCTCTTCATGTTGTACATGTCATGTTACTAATTTCACATTTACTTATTGTATTTTCTATGTAATACAGATGTAAATTCCATTAAAATAATAAAAAAAATATTATAATTTATACAAAATATCGTAAATCTTTGTATATGTGATACACCGAGCTTCTCTGCGATCTCATGAATAGAGGTATGACGATTTTCGTTGATGAACTCTTTGATTTGCTTGTCTTCGACTTCATTTGGTCGGTCAGAATGTTGTTCGTCTTTCGGTGAAAAATCTTCTGCACGAAATTTCGCGAACCTAAGTTTCAAGACTAAGGAACCGTACACAGCACATTATTTTTAGTGTGATTTAAAGCATTTTTTTCGTTTATGAAAATAAAAAAGGAGAATTGTCGGAAATAAGCACTTAGAGCTTCCATTTCAATCAGAATTTTAATATTAAACTAAACATTTAATCATCAAAATATTTACATGGAATTATAAAGGAAGTATTAAACGTCAAGTAAAAATAAAGGGTTCAAATTTCCTGTAAGTATAAAAAGATAACATTGTTATAAAAGTCGTAAAATCCGCAATTATTTAGTTTTCAACACTATTGTAGGCTGTTTTGAAGGTTATCTAGGAAATAAATTCAAGATTTTCAAACATATTTTTATTATAGGACCCCACTTGTGGCCCAATGAAATATCTTATGAGCTGATCCCATTTAACAGAAAATATTGACTGTTTATCATCCATTTCAATATATACAAAAGTGGCATCACAAAACATTGTACATAATCTAGTCAAGTTCCATTGTGATTAAGCTAGTTTTGGAAGGATGAATATTAAAACAAATTCAATTTTTAACTAGTTTGGTATTAATATTAATTCATTTTTCGAAGAAAAAAAACAAGATTAAAAAAATATATTTATTATTTTAAATATTGTATATATATAACAATAAAAACAATGGTTATACTTTTGCTCTATATACATTTACTATAGTTAAATAAACTATTTTGTGGGGAAAAAGGAATTTCAAGTCTTATTACTAACACAGCTTTTTACTAACAGTAGTACTAACTATAGCACCATATTTCTTTCACATAATAATTATTACAGCCCTTCGGTCAAAAAGTATTTTAATCATCTTCATCTTCATTAGAGTCATTTGTAACAGAATCATACAACTGAATGCAAACTTGGGCAATAGCTCCAGCAGCTCGAAACTTCTTTGATGCTTTCATTTTTTCCATTTTCTTTTTCCACTGTAATGATGTGAATTACAATAATTAAATCCAAAGAATAACAAATCATATGAATTCAAGTATCTAAGGAATCATTATAAATTGCAGATCTCTAATAAGTACCTTAACATCTCTAGAAGGTAGCTTCACCAAAAACTCTTTCATTTCAGATTTTTCATTATCAGCAATAGCTAGAACTGAAAGACAACCATCTATAGTTCCTAAAATAATGCATCTACCATCCTCTGTACTTTCGATAGCTGTCAGTTCAGCCTGAACTCTATAATTTGCAATCATCTCTGCATCAGAGGTCCTAAGCAAGAAGACAATGTGAGTACAAAATAAGAAATGGATGATCTAATTTTGTAAATATAGTTTATAAAATTGATTAAATATTTATTATACAATATTAAATTCATATAAATCTTTATATTTAGATAATTTAGTTATGTTAAATTAACAAATCACTAGCTAAGAGGGTCATTTAATTCAGAACCTTGTGATATACTTTGGAGGCCAACAAACCACCTAATTTATCCTCTAACTAATGGAAGACGCTCAACACTTTTTTTTTTCCAAAGGATTAAGTGAATCAAAAAAGTATATATCAAACCGTAGACGTCATTCTCACAAAGTCTAATATTTTTTACTAAAGAAGAAATTAATTTCATTCCAAATACTCAATTTTTAACTTTACCTGAAAACACGAATTGTCTTTTTCCCACTATGATAATAAAGCACATATTCATCAGTTCTATTAAACATACATATAACAGTAAATACACCCTCAGCAACTCTTGGAATGAATGTTTTAACAGTTGAACCTCTTTTCAATTCTAGAAGTTCCAGACCTCCCCTAAAAATGAAAATGCATTTATTTTGAATGAGTTAATTCGATAGGTAACAATTAATATAAATTATATTACTTCATACTTCAGGCAGTTTACTAGTACGAGCTAATTCTAAAACTAATTCCAATTATTTCATTACTTCTTTTCAGAAACCAGAAGCATTTCAAAATGTACAAGAAATCAATATTTGTCTTACAGATTTACTCTATTAAGATACAGAGTTAGTTGCTTATGCTGACAAGAATTATACTAACATGTTTTGAAAAATATTCTATTCTGAATATTCACTCTCCCTCTCTCCCTCTTCCTCTATTCCTACCTCTATCTCTCTCCCTTCCACTCCCCCTCTCCTTTGTAAAATCCCAAACATTTTAATTTTAGTTTTGAAGAAAAGGATGGTGGGGGTGATCAGTCAAAATAAATAATTATATTTATTTTTACTTTTGGGTAAAATAGTTGACTGTCGTGAATAATGAAGAGAAGAATAGTTGGGGTGATCAGTCAAATAAGAAGGCAAAAATAAATGATAATATGTATTTTAACATTTGCCGATGTTTCGACCTGAAGTTCAGGCTAAGAAAAGAACCAGATAACAAGGTATGACAAACATAAGCAGTGTAGGTAAAAAAATTAAAGTAAAATGAAATTGTTAGAATAATGACAATAGTAAGAACTATGAGATAAATAATAATAACCGTTACAAAGTGTGGAATAATGAAGTAAACATGATCAAAAAAGGTGACATAAGTATTAAAATGGGAATCTTAGAATAAAATGTAAAACAGAAAAAAGAAAATAACTATTCTTCTCTTCATTATTTATTTTTACATTTGCCGATGTTTCAGCCTGGAATTCAGACCTTCATCAGGGCTAAGAAAGAACCAGATAACAATAGGTATGAGAAACTATAAACATTGAATAACAAAGAATTAAAATTAAAAGGGTGAAAGGTATATACTAAAAAATGTAAGTAGAATAAACTTGAAGTAGATGGAGTGAACATTAAAGCAGGTAAAATAAATAATTATATTCGGCCTGAAGTTCAGGCCTTCATCAGGGCTAAGAAAGAATCAGATAACAATAGGTATGAGAAACTATAAACATTGAATAATAAAGAATTAAAATTAAAAGGGTGAAAGGTATAGACTATAAAATGTAGGTAGAATAAACTTAAATTTTCCATCCTCTTTCAATTACACATTTAAATAAATGTGTAATTTAAAAAACTCATAGAATTTATCTATAATCTATAATCTCTCATCCATTATATACATTTGTGTGCTTTAGTTCACGTATTTCAGTTAACCTTTACAGATGGCTCTATGGAGCTCTACTCTTTCCTGCTATAATACCTAGGTCTTTCCAAGCTGCTTGGACCAGGTATGTTTATCTTTTTTATCTTAGTTTTCTCCTTTTTTTCCTCCTTCCCATCACAGATATTTTCCATATCTCCATCTCTATTTTGTATATATTGATACATTTCCTCATTTATCTTTTTACATTATTTTAACATTTTATTCTCTTATACATAGTCAGTATATTTCGATAGATTTAAGAATATCTTAATTTTCTGTTCATATCTATTATTTCCTTATATAACTTCATATTCCTTTTCTCTGTTTTACATTTTATTCTAAGATTACTAGTTTTCATTCCTTATATTATCTTATTTTGATTATGTTTATTTCATTAGTGCATACTTTGTTGCCGTTATTATTATTTATTTATTTGTTCTCTGTTACTGTTATTATTTTACCTGCTTTAATGTTCACTCTATCTACTTCAAGTTTATTCTACTTACATTTTTTGTATATACCTTTCACCCTTTCACCCTTTTAATTTTAATTCTTTGTTATTCAATGTTTATAGTTTCTCATACCTATTGTTATCTGGTTTTTCTTAGCCCTGATGAAGGCCTGAACTTTGAGTCGAATATAATTATTTATTTTTACTATTTTTTATTTTGACTAATCACACCAACCATCGTTCTCTTCAATTATTCACTACAGTCAACCATCAATCCACTAGTAATTTAGTTTTCTTTTACTGGTTTTGTATAGTCTACTGTTTTTTTTAATTTTAAACTGCTTTGTAATCTAGAAAGATTATATTTTTCTCATTAAAGGCTAATATTGATATCTTCAAATCATTTTTGTACAACTGGACTTACCTGGTTGGAGCGTATAATCCATATTTTCCGTCCATTGTGCATATTCCTCCCCATTTAGGAACAGTTCTTACAACCTTTTTGTTTTTAATATCATATACAACAACTTTCTCACTTTCAACTAAAGCCATATGTGTGGCTTTTTGAGGCATTGCAACGAGAGAACTAACATCCTACAAAGTATATAAATAAGACTGCATTCATTTTACTGTAAAAGTGAAGGAGAGAGAAGGTTACTAACCCTAACACCAGGTACTTTTAAGGAAATCTTGCTTGTACATAGACCTGTTTTGACATTGAAAACATGAAGAGCTTCCCGATGTGCACCCTTATCAGCAGCAAGAGCTACAATATTCTGAAGGTCGCAAGTCAAAACTATCTCTTTGAAGTTAACACCAGTCACATTTCTTACGGGGTATTCAAAAGTATAATTTGTGTTGCCACCTATAAAATGAATTAATATCATTAGCAATGAATCAAAGTAACATTTTAATATCAAGTTATTGAGAAATTTTATTTTGATTCTATGTTATGTTTTATGTTACACTGATCTAATTATATAATATGATAAATTCTGTACTTTTTTAATAATACTTTTTCTAATACTAACTCGCTTTCCATGTTCACATTTCTACATATTTTTAATGCTACCATTTTAATCTATATCTTGGTACTATATTGATTTCAAATGAAATAAAATTAATTTTCAAAGTAAAAAGAGTAATATTTGATGCTATATATTTATTCCATATTATTTCCTTTACAGATGCTATATGCCATCTTCAGGCACATCTAAAAATATGTTTACCTTGTGTCTTTGATCCACATAATAATTGTATAATAATCTGCATAATAATAGATAATAATTGTTCAAGTGCCATTGCTGAAGGTGACTTGATTAAATTACCTTCAGCAATGCCTTATATGACTCATACATAAACCATTTTAAATGTGTATTATGTACATTACGTAATGGCTGATGTAGCAGATGTAAAGGAAACAATATAGAATAAGTGTACCGTGAATATTTGACTCATCCTAACTAACTTCAATATTTAAAATAATCTTTTCATCTTCAACATACAAAACACAACATATTTGATGCTAAAGCTGACACACACATACACAAAGTTATTTGTGAAAAGACTAAATGGGACTCTGAGGAACCAATGAATTGGATGTAATGGATAGATAATAGTATCTAGCTTGCTTACTTGGAATAGATCTTAAAATTCCATAAGCAGTACTTTTGGGAGGAGCGTCTGCTCCAGAAACAGCAGGCTTAGACATCGCTAGTACCTTTGTACCATCTTCCAAAAGTATCAATTGTTTAATGCCAAGCTGTTCTTCCTTGAAAATAACTTGTTCAGTAATGCGATTCCAAATTAATAAATTACCTGATTCAGCAGATATGATATATCTAGAATTATATTTTAATAAATTATAACCATACAATACTAAAGAAAGTATCAAATTTATTTATTTTTCTATTATATTTCTTATATAATTATTAAAATTTTCTGTTTTTTTTAATTGCCTCTTGCACTTTTATATTAAAAAAAACAACTATCTTACTTTCCATTTGGTGTGATGAGTGCATGAGTTACAATTGCACCCAACGGACTATCAGCAAGTTGAGAGATCAAATGGCCCACAAGCATATCCCAGACACCAACACATCCTCGAGTAACAGTTACTGCAAGCCCAACCTCTTGGCATACACTGCAATTTATTGAAGTATCACTACAGTCTAAATTGGTCTATCTGCTTGTATCACATGTTATGTATAATACGCAAGAATACATGATTTTGGATTAATATCGGACAAGAATGAAATCCAAGGATACAAAGTGAAACAAAAACTAACTTTCGATGTAGGAATAAAAGTCGCTTAAGAAAGAGCAAGGTGAGTGGCATACATTATATGCCCATTTGTCAGGGTATATATTTGTAATAGTATACTTTTCAGTTAAATATCAATAAATATAATTTAAATCAGTCATAGAGAATTTTTATTAATATAAATTAATATTGCCTGCATGGATCTAGTAATTCGATTATTGAGACGGGGTAGGAACACATGATGTATAATGGGTAATTTTAAAGAGGACCCACAAATATAATTTGATTAGGAAAAAGTATAGAAATGGGAACCAAAAAGTGAAGGAAGATATTTGAATCTCCAGGATGATATTTTAGGGAATGAAATCAAAGAATGTTAGAAACAGTTTCTGGACTTGCTTGTTCTGATTTCAGTTCTTTTATTGGAGTTGTTATGGTGTTTTTTTTAATTTAATAACTCTTTCATCAGTATTACTTGCATATTCCTCTATTTTATCAATTACTCATAAATTTCAAAAAAAATATTTCTCTGCTTTCTATACACAATTATAACCTGCTATGCTCTGTCAGCTTTATCACTACTTATAGAAATGCTACTATATTTTAATATATTCCACTGAAAGTCCAGCTTACTCATTGTTACCAGGCTGAGAATTTAGGCAGACGAGGTCATGGAAGCTAGCCAACTCTAGCATTTATTCAATACTGATATATGTCAGTCTCTATAGATTAATTCAGTAACTATTAATTTACTAATCAATGGGTTCAAACATTTATCATCATGTTTCAGGCTTTTTAATTTTTATCATAATGAAATTTAGTACTGCTTACCTTATTGAATCTATTGGAAGTTCATGTCTGTCAATTACATGCACTTGTTCAAATATATTGTTTATGTTCCATACTTTTACAGACCTATCAATAGAAGATGTTATTACCTGAAATTCAAATAAAAAAATTTTTAAATTCAAATTATTAATTTTAGCCCAACTAGAGTGAGGATTATTGGTTTCTATACCTTAGTATTATCTCATACTATATAAATTATGCCAATACCAATACAAAGAAAGAAATCTTTAAGCTTAGAAAGTGAAAGACTTTGTAAAAAGAAAATCAGTAATGATATATATTACTTCAACAAAATATACTGAATAGGAAATTCACAACATTACCAAAAAAACAAAATATTAATCTGAAAGCGAACATTAGTAAGATGTTCAAAAAGAAATATATTTATATTGTAATGGGAATAGAAAAATAGCAACTCAAAGCTCTAGCAGATCAAAAGTGATCATCTTCAGCATTAGAGCCAGGGATTGACAGTATTAATGGTGAGACAATCAGTCGATTCCAGAAACAAGGAGCAAGGAAGGCTGACTCGGCCATGTGAGCCCTCCGTAGAGCAGTCTAGCAATCCAATAGGGTTGGTGGAGAGGCAGGCTGGGCACTTATAGGTCAAATCAGGACCCATACATCTTTCTGCTGAGTCTGAAAGTAGGAGAATCTCCTTATTAAAACCTAGAACTTTTTCTCTGTAGGTTTAAATAAGGGCATTCTAAAACCTAGAGAGAAAAAGCATACGCCAAAGGAACTTTCCTTATGGAGAAGACTTGAAAAAATAAAAGACCAAGAGGTTCTGGTGAAAGAATACCTATAGAGAAATAAAAACCGTAACAATTAATTAAATAATTATAATAATAAATATTATAGCTCAAAAGTACAAAGCTTATAGCATGGGTATGTATGAGTTGACATTTCAATTAAATGATTTGACTTCTTGATAACATACATTCATATTCCTCATAGTGATTTCAATGCCTTCAATATAGTATAGAACACTAACACAATCAAAAGAGATGAGGAACTGTTGGATCAACATAGTTAGATATTAAGAAACAATAGTTGATGAAAAAAATAATGGAAAATTTTAGGGATATAATATTTATATCTTGTGCAGTGAAAACAATAAAAGCTAATAGCTAAATGTGAAAGTGATAATTAAATTCTATCAAATGTGTGTAAGTTTTAAAATTATTAATTACTGAATTCCAATTCCCAATTGTGAGAGGCTCTAGAGAAATTATTCTTCCGAAATGTGCATCAAGGATTTTAACTAGCTCACATGTTTGTAAATCCCACACATAAAGATTTTTCCTAAACAAAGATATGAAAATAAAAAATATAATGAAATTAAATAGATTAGTTTTGTACTAAATTGCTTTTAATTGTTTTAAAGGTGCAAAAGGTTAACATAAATCCAGGGTATTTTGGTTCAGAGTCAGAAAAAATGTATTGCTTATTGATCCTGACCAATCCCAAAGGAAGACACCCAAGATTTTATATTCACTACAGCACTATACCTATTTTGATCATTAACTATACCTTACACCAGCGACTGCGAAGTCACCTGAAGCAGAAATCATGAATGAATTTGAACTTAATACTCTTGTTGAAATATTTCTTATTCCATGAGGTAGCTTTAGCATTTTACTATCAGAATTGTTTTCCAGATCCCAGATTATGAAACCATTATATGAAGTGCCAAGCAAAGTTTTTTCCTCTTTGTCCAATTTGAGTTGTAAAAGGATTTCATTAACTTCATCATCTAAAGAAATATTTATATATAATTTAAAAAAAAAACTTTTATTTCTTAAGTTGTAAGAAAGATGAAAAGCCAGGAAATAAAAAAATCATATTATTAAAAGTCAATAACTCAAGGAAACATTATTTAGTTGATTTATTTCTTTTAATTTTTTGTTTATAGATAATGAACCTACGAATATAATAAGGAAATTTTATCTTTAATGGTATGTTTTAAGCTATGGTGATCATGCTCTTTCTCCACTGGCTTGTAGTACCAGTAACAAGATAGAAAGAGCAGTACAGGGATCTCTTGGTGTCTTACTTCTCGCTCAGTAGATGGAGAGATAAGTCTGGTTTGGAGGTCCCTTGGCTGATTATAAATAGTTTACATAGCCATATCTGTATTTAAGGTATTGTTTCATTTCACTTATCATTTATTTAATCTTTTTTTTTTATTCCGTATAATTTTTGTTTTCAATATAATTATTAAGTTATTATTTTATTTTATTTATTTATTTTCTGTAAATATGACATGAATGGAATCTTTTATCACTAAGACTATTGTATTTTTTTATGATAACTTACATGAACATACTAATACACTAATACAAAGTATGACCACAATTAAAATGTCCATTAACACCCATAGGATGTTAGCTGCATAATCTTGCTTAATTTTTTTTCCTGCATGCCAGTCTGGCTTATGGGATTTCGGCTAAAGTGGGGGTATAATTATTGTGCTCTGTGATTGAATATACGCAGGAACTGTGTCTCCTACATTCCAGACAATAGGTTTGAATCTGGTTCTAGCAGGTAATTCTTTAATCTGTTACACTAACCATGGATCAATCCAAAGAGCAAGAAGCTCTCCTGGGGCACACAAAGCTCTTGGTGGGACTCTTAATTAAATTATTAAGTAAGAGAAAAAACCTAGAAGTTAAGCATGATCTCGACCAAATCATCTCCTTACACAACAATTGAACAAGAAACAGTGTTTCCTAAAAAAAAGTACAGAACTCAAGACTATCTCTAGTGTTGTAATGGGACAGGATTTTTTAAATACCATTGAAAATTACTAAAATAATCATCAACACTTACATGGTGAAACAAAATGTGTCTCTAGTTGCCAAGAGGTCGAACCATCTCCTGCAGTAAATTTACTAACTTGATAAGATCCTGGTTGGGTACAACAATATATTGTATTCCAGTCTTTGTTTAGTACCATTGCACTAAAAACATAGTATAGTTATAGTTCAAATATTTTTTCTTGTAATGCATTTGTTTGAAAATTATTTACCTGTGAAATTGAAGAGGGCTTAAATCTCCATAAGGCCTTTTGGTATTTAAAAGAAGTCTAGGATCATCTAAATTACCACTCCAAAAGAGAAATAAATAGTCTTCCAATGTTTTATATTCCATTGAGAAAACTGGCCACTCAGTAGGATTCTCCATGCTTGTATATCTGGGTAAAAAACAAATTAAATAAAATGCATATATCTAGATGATTATTATATGTTTTACTATTGAATTGTTTAAAGTTTGGTTTGACCTTATATTAAAAATAAAATTATAGAAATAGACAATGATGTTTTAATGTCAGAAAATCTGGTATTTCAAATTAAGTATTATATTTTGTTTTGTTTTTCAATGGAGAGGCAGAAAATTAATGAAATACTTTTAGTTTATTTACAAACTGTCAGTAAATAAAATTGTCTCTATATTTAAAAAACAATAGATAATTACAATTTTTTTTTTTAATCTTGATTGAATGTACTACCTGTCAATTATGTTTTGTTCTAATAATGTTATATTAAACATACTTTGTTCAATTAAAGTTTAAGGCATTTCAATCCCACTTCATGGAAATGCTCACAGTAAAAAAAAGAAAATATATCTATAAATTTTATATATACAACTTTTTAATTTCATAAATCAATCATAGAAAAAAATACACTTAATTACACCTGTAATTTTATATTTACTTAGCTATTAGCTCTCCTCTCATGTCGAACCTGCACCAGTTAGATGAGCCATGGATAAAAAAGTGTTGATTAAGGAGAAATAACCCAGCTACCTCTTCACCTTCAGGAAGTGGATTGTCAATGACAACATATTCACTGCTCAAGGTGTTCAGCAGAACTGACTAGAACATAATTTATAAAGATATTTATTTTTTGAGATAGGATCTATAAATGTTTTAAGATGGCCATACACGATCTGTTCATTCATCCACATGGAGCAATGTCACACCATTATTGTATTGTGGGTGAGAAAACTGATATGGGTGAAATCAACTGACAAGATTATTTGGATATCCAAGAATATCCAGAATAAGTTCAGTATCTATCAGTTCGATCCATCGTGACATATTGCCAACAGATAGTGTATGTGAAAGAAACGAGCACCATCACTCCATTGGATGATCTATGTATTTAAAACATTTTTTTTTAAATATCAATAAGTTGTGTTCTGAACACTATTTTAATTATTACTAGTAGTTATATAATCAGTTGACCTCACATATAAATCTAATATCTACTCTTTATTGCAGAATTTAAAGAATTATTTATTAAGAATTGTTGCTGTTCATTGTGAAGCCAGAATAATTTTCAGCAATGCTTACCAGGTTTTTTACCCAAATGTTCCCACAGAGATAGCGTTTGAAATTCTTATGGGAAAAACAGCGAAAAGTTGCATTTTGGGGTTGTTGTTAGAGAGTAAGGAATGTTTAAAAATTGAAATTATAATAGTTTTCTTGCCATCAGTATGATAAACATTCGATAAAAGTTCTTTCATCTTTTGGGGCGTAGTGCTCTTCCTTCCCTTCCCATCCTCCCTTAGCACCTTTGATTTGTGAAAACAATTGACCTAATGTTGTTTTACCCTCTTGTGAAGTGGTCGAGGTGGCCGAATGGGCTAACGGGTTGGGCACAGCACCACCATTGCCCGGCAACCTGATATATGATATGGCCAACGCGTCTTTTAAATCACCGCCCATACCCCTCTTGCCCATATATAAAAAAAAACCTCTTGTGAAAATCAGTTTATTCTGTTTCTGTATTTAACTCAATTTAATTTCATTCACAATTATATTACCTCCGTACTTGAATACTCTTAATGAAATTAGCACATTTATAACTGTTATTAAATTTTTATGAAAAAGATTTTGATCTAACAGAAATAATTCTTGAAACATGACTTTTTTCATATTTTTGTTTACAATTACCTGAATTTCAATAGGAAAGAGAAATTCTATACAATTCATAAACACTGAAAACTAGACATGGATGATAGAATGATGGAGGATATGCTACGTTTTTGGATGTTATCTTAATAGATGACATTCATTGGGCTGACATCTAACTGGAGTGATCATAAATGGCCACCTTTAGATTCAGAAGAACTGTGCCACAATGTTTTTGTGGATTTAAGTCTCCAAAAATAAAACATTATTCTAAATAATTTAAAAAAATTTACTTATCATTTTTTTTTTTTCAATAAGTAAGTAACTGAACTTACTTTTGAATCTTTTAGCTTAAATAAAGATACAAATTGAAAGAATTACCAATTCCACCAAGTAACCTTCTACTTACAAGGTATTGTAAGGTTAGTTAGAATACTACAAAATTGATTAAAAATTTATGTTTTATTTTTTTCTTTCTCACCCACTTTAGTTGAAGGTCTTAAAAATCACTTTAGTCCATTCCTTAAAAAAATGATAGATACAATGTCCATCATTTAGTTTTAATGAATCCATAAGATCTTACAGTGGATCATTGATTTAGTTTTCATGCCATGATTTGTTTGCATATTCTTTTATTTTGATTTTTTAATTAAAATTGCCAGTGAAACTTGTCCCACTTTTGCAAGGATTTTCTTAAACATATCACAGTCATTGAATCAGTGTTGCTCCACAAGAATTTTCTAACATTTAATTGAAATGAAATTAACCCCTACCTACTGACATTAATCGTTGTTTAAAAATACACAAAACCATAAGATTTCCTGCAATCAACATTTCTAAAAAATAAAAAAGTTCATCATAAAATTAAAAATAACTGCTACAAGTATGCCAGAAATGTTACCTATTTTGATACTTATACATAAATAAATTTAACCTGATTATTATTAGTAAAAGCAGCTGCATATCTGTTATCAGGACTGAGATAAAGTCGTTGCATAATGCCTTCCAGGCCAGGATTCACATCTCTGTTCATATCACTTGTCGATAAGTCCCATGTTATAAAACGATTTGAAATTGATACAATGTATCTGTAGTCTGATGTCAATTTGAAATCAAATACAGCAAACTGATGTCCTTCCAGTGAATACTAAAAAAAAATATTAGATATGCAAAATTTGTGCTTTAAACCTAGCTGTTCTTGATTAATTATTAATGTATAAATATTATTCAAAAATACTTTCAGAGGTCCTCCTGGAGTATGTAGACAATGATAGAGAGGGGATAAAGCACAATTTCCTGGACCTTCTAAATCACAGGCATTTAAAAGCATTTTAATATTCGGATTCATTCCAATTTCAGGAAGTAGTCGGCCGACAAGTTGAGGTGCCAGCATGTCTGGATATATACTAAGAATAGCTCCTCCAAGACGAAGTGCATCAGCAACTAACATTAACTCTCTAAAACATGAGACTTATATATTTATTAAATACAGAACAGTTTATATAGTTCGTATTTTATTTCTTTGATGTTCCAAATATTTATAAAAATCTATCAGGATTCTTAAGTAATTATGTTTTAGATTTATGAATCAGACTTTGAGTTTTTACAGTTTCATAAATGAGAGAAAATTTAGAGATGTAAACGTAGATATTTCTGTTGAGTGGAAAATTTTGGACAGATTAGAACAGTTTAATATTTTTGTAAGTAGTACCTGGGGTTGGCAATCAGGAATTTTAATTTTATAAGCAGAGAAGCACTGAATAGATTGGCATGTTTTCTTCTAAGCTCACAGAGATGAAAAAAAATTTCAAAACACTAAATGGGATCTTTGCAAGAGGTCTAAACATTTTCTTTATCACGTGTTTATCAACTATTCATGAAACATAATCTAAACAAACCAATTTTAAAATAAACTTAATATAAACTTTTTTGTGTTCTTTAATATAAACTTAATTGAATAAAGAGGATTGAGAATGGTAGAAATATCCTTGGGAGGAAAATCCTAAAATTCACTTATTCAGCCAAAGATTCCTTCATATTTTGACTCTAAATACCAGTAAATATTTTTGAAAATTATTGACAAGAATTTCATCCAGAGATTAAGCAGATAGGAGTGATTCTGAACTTCACTCAAAGGGAGATGGACATTCACAAAATATTAAAAATTTATTAAAAATCCAGGTGGTGTAAACATAAAAAGCCTCGTAATGATAACAGAAGATTCCAACAGAGCTGATAGACGATTTGTGAAAAAACAATCACCCATTTTATTTCAGATTTCTCAGTGTCCAAACTCATATAGCTACATAAAGCTACTGGAAGACAGTTCAACTTAATACTTATAAGAGGGAACAGTAATAGGTCAAACATAAACTCTACAAAATATATTCTCATAAATGCAGTTATATGAGAACAGCGCTAGAATATCATCACTGTGAGTATAGTCATGTAGAGGTATTAAAAGAGATGAGTTACTTTTACAAGAAACAACACTAATAATCCAATATCAAAATTACAGAGGAAGAGATCCAAAAAATGTCATCTAATCCAATCTCATTTTCATTTATAGTCCGATGTAATAATCATAAATTGTTTATTATACTAATGTAAATATTAGTTTGTTTTTTTTTTTGTTTAAGTCATCCTTTGCTAATCATAGTTTTTTTTTCTTGATATTGAAACTAGTTATTTTATTAAAACTAAAAAGAAAAAGAAAAAAATAATTAAAAAATGGAATTTTTTTTAATCAAATAAACCTCACCAATGTTTATACTAAGCAAAATAGTTGTTATTTTTATCATAATAAATACTTCTAATAAAATTTAGCAAATATAAAAAAGCTATAAAATTAAACCATAAAATTACAATAACAGAACAATTATATATGACTAAATGTATTAATATAAGAAACCTAAATACCAGCAATCTACAAAATAGCAAATATATCCAACGTTTAAGTAAGAATAACAACAATCTACTAATATATCAACTTTATACTAAAAAATATATTAGAATACAGAATAAATTTAATAATTATCTACTAAGGCGATCAGTAAATATATTTATACCAAAAAAACTACTTACGAAACATTAAAAGGACTCTCATAAACTACATAAAAATATTTGAAAACAAAATTAAAAATATATTATTAATTAGAAACTGAATACATCAGCAAGCTAGTAAGCAATTTTTATTAATACAAATAAGGCAAAAATACAAAAAAACACAGAGACACATATTATAATTACAATACACTAAAAAAAATATTTAAATATGAAAATATTAGTTATAATGTATAAGAAAAAATGGAAATAGAATAATAAATTTCAAAGATACTAAAAGTAAAAGTCACATGCAATAAATAACTCACACCAAAGTTTTCTCACCTCCTCAACAATCGAATTTCTTCCCTAATAGAAAATATGATGAATAATCTTGGACAAATCAGATAAATAATATACTTTTAAAAAATAAATATAATCTATTTGAAAAAAAAATTTATTTAACCATATTCATTAACCAAAAAGTAATTAATATTTTATATCAGATTCAATAATTTATTAATTATCATCAAATTCCATATTTGAAAAATGAACTTCTTAATTATTGAAAATATTTATGTATATATCAAAGACGCTTGAATGAAATCATTAATTTAATTACTAAGAAAACACATTTGATTAGTAACACATTTTAAATTAACGAAACCTCATAACTTTGTTTTGTACAAAGCACTTCATTTGATAATATTGTATTAATAACTTTTTAATAATAGCTTCATATCACCACTTGGAACAACAACTTAACTTTTAAAACATTATTTTTCTGTTTTTTTATCTCTATTACTAGTTTCCATAAAATTCAGCAGACTTTCTTTTACTTATTAATACGATAAACATTATAGAACCCATATTAATAGGCCCATTCATTGGACCTATTGGCTGGAAATTTAATTTTAGAGATAAGCATTAGAATTTTTAGTTATTTCACTTAAAGGATTATGAAAAAATAATTGGCAATATTTTTGGGTAAAAAAATTCAGTCCTATATTGATGATTGACATCAACAAAAGTGCCAAAAAAGAGAACATTTAATTAGGCCAAAAAAATAAAGCTAAAGCTCATTCAAAAGTTGAAATGTGGGCTTAATGACTCAATCATTAATAGTGTCACAAAGATTAATTGTTATTCACAAAGATAAAAAAATCATTTGAAAAATAGTTTAATATATCTATTATTATATATTATTAATGAATTTCTAACTTGAAATGATTCATATGGTTATTTCTAACAGGCCTTATAGTTGTTATCCATACAAGAAAAATCCGTTGTGACACAAAAGCTGATTTTTATTCCTATGCTGTTATGAAAAATATTTGTCTTAAAAAAAACTTTGTTCTACAAAGATGTATTGTAAGCCTTTAGATCTTATTAATCTATTAATTATTTGTTTATTTTTATTGGCTTATCATATTATTTTTTTACTTACTATTTAGATACATAAGATTTTTCAAGACCAGGTTGCTGTAAGATTTCTTAAAAAATTAAAATTAATTAAAAATTTCAAGCAATATTATCTTAATAAATCAAACTATTTTAATCTTTAGGTAATTATTAAAAAGAAAAAAATAAACGTTTTGATAATATTTATTGGTTCTATTAACACAGGAGTTTTTTTGTACCTAGTGATATCACGATCTTCAATGTTGGCACATGCATCTTCAAAATCACTCAATACTGCTTGGAGTGGACAGGAACTGAGTTTCGCATGAAGCCATTGGTAATTAAATAAAACATTTTCATAAAGATCAGTGAATCTTTTTGATCTGACGAGGTGAAAAGGTAATTCTCCAAACTGCACAGAATAATTGATTTTTAGGCACAGACAATTTTTCTTTTTTTTTTTTAATACAGGGCTGAATCATCATAAATTTTAAAGTGTACATAATTCAATTTTAATAATTCAATATCATTAAAAAATATATATAATAATTTTATGTTATTGGAAAAAAAATACTCAATTTCAGAAGAGTTTAATAATTTCTATTTTAACAAATTTATGAATTTAAACTTTTAAAGTGGATAGTAAATTTATAATATTTACTTTTTAATATAACTTCAAACAATTAATTTTCTTGTTTTAATTAAAAAATTAAAACAACCTCTCTAAAATAAATTACTTTCTTAGTTATTAAATTAATCTTAAGAAACCTCCAAACATATGCTTGTATAGGTAACATAAGAAACCTGCAATTTCAAAACAAGGGTCTGGAAATATTGTTATTCTCCAAATAAGGTTAAGGATTATCTATTTCAAGATCACCTCCCTACACAACTATTGTTACATCCTTAAGAAATATTGAACCTTAGACCCTTCAAAGGTTGTAAATGTAAATATATCAAGATTGACCATGCTAAAACTGCAAGGCTTAATGATTTAAGTTTTTCAGCACACCCAGACAGTGCTGAATCAGTGACCATGTACTCCATCAAGATTTTTTTTTTTTTAAATTGTGAATAAACATTGCTTAGAATTAGCCTTGTTTATTATTTTTAAAATATGGTTAGGAAACAGCCTTACTTTTCTTAAATTATATCTTGAAACTTTTCCATCTTTTGAATGAAAAACCAAGGGTTGAATTGGTACTTTCCTATCAGCAGCACCTTCCTTATCAGTCAGATTAAATCTATAAAAAAAATTATATTATAATTTAGTTATAGTTTATTGAAATTTACAATCATAAGACATCCATCAACCTGTGTCGTTGAATTTCAGTATATTTAAATGGTTTGGGTTTGCCACCTCCCCATATTCCCAGGAAATAATCAGCTATTGAAGAATGAAAATAAATAGCCATGTTCATGTTCTTGAAATACCTTTCCTTAGCTGTATCTCTAAACTGCCTATAAAAAAATAAATGATTTTTCGCTGACAATATTTAAAATTTAAATAATCAATTACTTTCCTTATATGATAAATAGAGTGATGTGTTGATTTACATCTTACACATGATTTGCATACTAATACATAACTAAAGCAATGACAAAAAAAAAAAATTACATACACACATTCATACTTTGAAGATGTCGAGATTTTTATCTATTATTTAAAATATATACATATTTTATTATATTATTTGTCTAAATATAACTAAGGTTAATGCTCATTCCATTATCTATTAATATTTTTATTTAAATTTACTAATAAAGAATTGAGGATTTTGGTTAGAAAATTTATAAAATACCATTATTCAGTGTCTAAATGATTTTCGCATCATATATGTATTATGTATACTTGATAATGACCCAGTTGAGCTAGAGTCAGGGAACAGGATTTGGGTGGAAGATAGGAGGGCTGGGTTGGTTTTTAATAAGGCATGTATATATATATATATATATATATATATATATATATATATATATATATATACATATATATATGTATATATAAAATGACATTTTTGGAAATAACTTGTAGAATCAGTAAATATTTTACTAATAAAAAAATAACATTTTTTAAGATAGTGTTTGAATTGTCGTTCCCTTACCTGTGATACCAGTTCATTACACTTACTCCGTCGGCTTCTCTTTCTGATAAATAATTCGGTAAGTCATTACGAATCCTTGTCCAAAGTAAAGGTGGTATTCTTCTGACTGGTGGCAAGTGATATTGGTAGACATCATCTAAGACCTTGTCATCAAGTGAAATCAGATCTTCTAATTCTGACTCACTCAATCCACTTTTTGCAGCAGTTATATATGCCAAGGCATGAAAGACAAGGATCCTTCCGTGCTGGAAGGATAAGTTAATTACTAATTACTTAGCTCTCTTTACTTTCATTTACCTATTTATGAAATATATGTTAAGGGAAAGTATTGCGATCATGAAAAGTTTTGAATCTGAGTTTTCAACGGAAATACAAGTTTTGAGGTTCCCTGAGTCCGATCAACCAAGCTTCCCAAATTAGTCTGTATGTATGTGTGTCCTTGTCTGTGTGTGCAGAAAGTTAAAAGTCATACACAACTGAAATTGCGTATTTAAGGTTTGTGTATACCTGTGATATTACAGCAACTATTTCGTCAAAATTTTCTGACCGAAATCGCTACTATATATCATCAATTTTACACATTTTTCTTTTATTTTAAATGGATCATTCCATACCTGTTTCTCAATCCTTTCAAATAACATCATGATTGAATCCATAACCGTAGATGCAAGATGAGTGTCAGAAGGTTTTGTATAACTACGCCACCGACAAATTTCTGCAAAAACCAGTTTTACAAAAATGGGTAAAGAGCATTTATCAATAGCATTTGATACTAATCGCCACTGATAATTTGAAAGGTCACGTTTTGCTGTTTTCATCCACATCCTATAATGCAAAAAAAAAAATAATAGTTATGAATGCTGGAAATGAAATTGGGTAAAATATTTTTTTAACAAGTATATAAATTTTAATCAGTTCTAATAATTTTCAATGTTTTAAGTATTAGTAAATGACTTTAAAAAAAATAAATAAAGAAACTTCTTCTAAGGATAGCACAAGTACCTTATGACTTGCATAGCTAACTCTTCCCCAAGAGCTCTGACCTCTATAAACTGTTCCTCATCGTCTATCATCTTTCTAAGAATATGGTAGTCCTTGGAGACTTCAGGATTATCAGCTTCAGAAGCACAGGAAACAATGAGCTTAAATAGACAGATAAAATAATGAATCAAAAACTTAAATATTTATCTGACTGGATCACTTCACAAATAGTCAACACAATATTACTTTGCAATGTGGGGGTAAACGGGTTGGTATCCAGGAAACATGATTGGTGTCTTGAGTACCTGTTAATTGGTCTACTGAATCTAAAAAGAATATGAACGGCTGTTTTTCACTAGCGCATGTCAACAAATTCTTGAAGTGAGCTGTCAGAGGAACAATATCATCTGGTATATCATCATAAGGTTGCATTAAATTATAACATATCTGAAAATAATATTTAAACAGGTAAGTTATTTTTCATTTTGTTCACTATTTCTGAAAATAACAAATCCTGAGAAAAGAAATATTTGTTTTATCTGTTTGGTCAAAAAGTTTCAGTTTTTAAAGAAGTTCATTGTTTTTTTTTTTGTATTTTTTTCTTATTTAATAATAATATGGTGTTAAACATATTATATATTAATTTTTGTTATAGTTTATTAGGAATCAAATTCAAGCATAAATTTGCAACAACACAAAACATGTATATTAGTTGACTTTAAATATATTTTATAATACATAAATTAATCCATTGGAATCAGAAGTTGTGTTTTAAATCTCTTACTTGCTGACAAATAGAGATGAGTGTAGGTGTAAGTGCACTACTGTCTGGTGTTGTACCTAAAAACCGGATAATGCAAACAGGCTTTGCACCTTTGAACCACTCTGTTCCTGTTAATCCTGCAGATTTAGCCAATAATGAGGTTTTGCCACAACCTCCCTCACCATAGAGAACCATCGGTTTATTGGAGTTACCTTTCATGTATTGTTCAATTTTTTCTAATTCTTCTTCCCGTCCATAAAACACCTGTTAAACAGAAATTTAATTTTAACAAAAATTAAATAATATTTATACATAATCTATGTGCAACTATGCCCGGGTGGATCTACGGGAGGGCTTTCGGGCTGAAGCCCTCCCCAAAATGGTAAAATATAACCATGTTTTATGGAAAAATATATTAAAAAATTATCTCTTAAAGTAATATTATTCGTGTAATTACTTTTAAAAGGCCTTAAAGAATCACTTAAACACCATTTAATATAGATAGTTAGTTTCTTTCTTTTTTTCCAAAGTAATTATCGTCATTTTTATGAAAAAAAAGCTTTCGGGCTGAAGCCCTCCCCAAAATTAAATCCTGGATCCGCTAGTGCAACTATGCTTATATGTGATTTCCATTTCATAATTTCAAATAATTAATTAATTTTATTACTGAATTTTCATATCAAAATAAATTATACCTGTACAGAACTGTTGCATGCATGAAGATGCTGTAATATTTCTGTGACGATCTGTCCTTGTGGACTTGAATCCTCCTTTCGCATTGCACGATCTACTAATTTTGTAATATTTTTATAAAAATGTGTAATAAAATGATTAAGGTATTCTTCATGTGTTTCAGGATCCAGACCTTCCCTACCTATCCACTCAACAGTGTACCTATAAAAGAAAATAAAGTATATATTTTTCAAGAAAATTATTTTTCAACTGGTATAATAAAGTAACACAGCTATTTTACTTTTGGAAATTTGTTGTTTCAATTTTATCTGTCAGTCTTTCATCTCTGAGGTTAGCTAAAAGCCTTACAGCCTCCGAGTCAACACTCCTGTTAATTATATCTATAAATAATGAAGCCTTCTTCAGATTTTGTAAGTTAATATTATTTATTATCCTGACGTATGCTAAGCAATGATTTTTTGTATTTTTGACACTCAGAATACCATTGATGACTTCCCTTTCAGTGACTGAAATTGGTTAAACATTAAGTTCAATTTTATTTGTGATATAAAATGTAATTTTTTTTTTAATTAAATGAAATTTGCAATTAATAAAGTCTGTTTATTTACCAGACATAAAATAATTATGTGTAGCATCTTTTGACATTTTCCCACTGTTATATAAGCTTTGAGCACCTTTACGCAACAGTTTCTGCATCTTTCCAAGAGTGTCCCACCAAACAGCTTGATCATGTTGTTGGAGTTTTGGAATCCTCTAAAAATATTGATTATTACGAAATCATTTTTTTTTTTTTTTTTTTTTTGCTTAATGCAACCTGCCATTTCCAGACTTATGATTCTTTCTTAAATGAGTAAGGAGTCAAAATAAGGGACAGAAACACATTAGAAATGATACATATTACGAAAATCTTATTAAAACAATAAATTATAAGATGATTTTGAAAAAAAAGTGACACATTAAATCCATATAAGATTGAATTTAAAAAAATATACAATGCATTTTCATAAGAAAATTACCACAAATAAAACAAAGATACATCTTTATTTTAAATATTTCACATACAAAAATAAAAATCTTAACCATATACTATATAAAATTCAATATTAGATATCTTTAAATTTAAAAGGCACCTTTTATAACATTAACATAATGTTTTACCTAGTTAAGACATTAAAAAAACACACAAAAAAAAACCTCAACCAACAAAAAAAAGTACCTCTTTAAAAATGGGTGTCAAATTCTATGCAATGCAGTGATAATAATTCAAATCACATTGGTATCAGATTCTTTGAGTGCCCTTAAAGCCATGAACAACATGTATTCAGATCACCTAGGAATATAAACTATTTTGGGGCTCATAAAACAGCTAATTAACATTGAAACATTAGTACATTTTTTATGGTCTCCTGGTCATGTGGGAATGAAATGGCTGACAGAGCAGCAAAAGAAGCTCTTACCCTTTCAGTACGTGGTAAAGCCTTCTTAACTGCGTCTGAACTGGTGCGACCCCTGGAAGAGGCCATACACTAAGATTGGCAGACACTATGGGACAACAGGCCTCCAAATAAATTAAAGGTGATAAAAAAGGAAGTGAAACCATGGAGCAGTTTCAGAAGCAGTAAACGCAAAGAGGAAGTTATTCTTACCCAACTAAGAATAGGTCATACCAGGCTTACACACCTTCACTTAATTACGAAAGAAAACCATTTGTCAGAAGTGTGGAGAGAGAATGACAGTGGTCCATATCTTCAAGAGTTGTGCCTTTTAAATCAGTGAATTAAACATAAGAGGAATACCAGCAAATACACTGACTGCTTTGGGAAATGATGAAAAAATCTTATGTAAAATCATATATTTTTTCTCTGAAGAAGGAATCTTAAAAAATCTCTGAACCTCTCATACAACTCTCCCCACCTCTTTTTTATTTACTTTTACTTTTATTTTTTTCCTCTTTTTTCTTTTTTTTTTCTTTCTCTTTTACCTAACGTGATAACTTTAAATAACTAAGCTTTAATAACCGTAAACAACTTTAACCTTAACTTGCATTTTACATCTTTTTAATTTTATCCAATTCTTAATATTCACAACCAGAAGATATAATAATAAATAATTTTAATAAACGGCATTGATGATCAACAGGTTTTACGCCTTTACTATACAACAACCAACCAATACAAATCATTGAATTAACTACAAATATTTTAAGTATTTATGAATATAAATTTTGATACCTTATTATTGAAATTTACTAAAATTGATGAAATCGGTTGCAGAACTGATATTGGTGGCACTGCATTGCTGTCCTTCCTATACCATGTATCAAGCAATATCACATCCGTTCCTGTGCTAGCTAATTCATCCCTCAACATTTGTAATTCAGAAGACAATATATATGTTGGAATGGGCCTGTATCCATATTTTTGTCCTAAAAATACCTAAGAACAAGTGTAATTAAAACTTCAAAAAGAGAATGAAAAAAAAGTATTTATTCAATGTTTAGTTAGATATTTTAATCTTACAGTAATGCTTCCTCAAACATTTTTTTCTCTTTTGCCTAATGCTAATATAGTGACAGGTTTAATAAATTAAAATTAAGCCAATAAATAATAATAATTAAAAAATGATACATATCAACATTTTCGAATTTCAAAATATCATATTTAAATTGCTGCTAAAACGAATTCATTGTATTTTTGCATAAATTAAAGATAATCTATTTTTTTTTTTTATTTGTATGCCCAATATTTTAAAGATAATTTAGCCAACATTTATGTTCCCTTCATAATTAAATAATTGTTAATAAGTAAATTTCAACATGCCTAAACTTGATTTACACCAGAGCCACTAGGCTTGAGAATGATAAAGTAGGTAATATTCACCCAGCACAACATCTGGGATAATGCAATTGTTGTTAAAGCAGAAAAGAGATGCCGCTAAGGTGATTTCGACATTGAAGAAGCCAATATGGTTACATATTTTTAATCATCTCAAGCAAATCCTAGCAAGATAAAGGATATTTATAAATTACTGCTTCATCTTTTAAAATTAGAACAATTAAAATGCTGAATAACTAATTTACATTTGTTTTAAAAGTAAAATGAAAACATAATATTCAAAATCTTTGTTATTATAAAGGGATTTATTTCAATGCACTTTAAATTCTATCCTTCATAACAATTGTTAATTTGTATTTATATTTATTTCATTGTGGAATTTGATTTTATTAAAGTTGTTTCAAGATTTTCATCTATTATACGTTGTTTATTAATGTTTCTTAAATAAATAAGAAACATAAATGAACTTAAGAGTTCAACATACAAAGCTATCCAATCTAATGATTTCATTCACTATGTATTTTTAATAATATTAGGAATAATTGTAATTATTACATACTACAAAATTTGGACCCATTGACAATCTCTGACAATTAGCTATTTCTCTCATGCAGAGCTCTGTTGTCATATGATCGTCTGTAGCTTCATCTCGGACACCCCACCTCATATCTACCACCTAAAATATAAGGAATAATTCATTACATTATGGTAATTATTGACCAAACTAAAAAAAAAAATTCAAAATGAATAAAAACAGTCATGTTTTTTTATAAATTAATCCTCATTAATAAATTGATACAATATATAAAATAGGATTGGTTGTTCTGTCTTCTCGACTTAATTTACTATTTTTTTTTTTTTAAGTACCTATAAGTACCATCCCTTGAAATATTTTGAAAGACAGTTTGAAAATTTTAAAAGACAATGTAATTTATATCATAACGAATATCTCACATGAGTTAAATAAATTGCAAATTATATATAGGTTCTTGAGGTCAGAGGTGCCCATCTCTCCCCCCTCACCCAGGCCGATCTTAAAAACAGTACAAACCAAAGTAGAATTTAAATATTCGTACATTATAAACAATTATTCATCTTGTGGTCTGTTCCATGCATCCATTTGTCTTTTGATTTAAAATTTTTCATTTTGAAAATTCATAATCCCGTCGAAATGTGGTCCCCTCATAAAATTTGATAGTGCAAATTGTGTCATGAAACTCCCTTCTGGACAACTCAGTTTGAGGCCTCAAATTGTGTTACATAGCATCAATAGAAAATCTCTTTTGTACTTTTCCCAATGAATTTGTTTTAGATTCATGTAAACAGGTGGGTGTCATTGCAGTCTAAATTATTTAAATTCAAAAACAACAGACTTTTAATATATAATATATTTTTATGTAAGGAGGAAACCAATTAATATAATTGCTATTTATCTTTTATTTTTGACAATTTAACCACCTTTGCAGGTTTTTAATCAAACAAATAAGAAACTACTCAACCACCTATTCTGAATTTTAAGCCATATAGTCAACATCTGTATTTTTTTTTTTTTTTTTTTTTTTTTTATGAACTTCCTCTTTAATCATCTCTGTGATTAAAACCTACCTTTCAAGTGTCTCATACACAATACTTTTACTTATATATATATATATATATATATATATATATATATATATATATATATATATATATATTCTCCCTGTAACACTTTTGGAGACAGCCCTGATGAAGGCCTGAACTTCAGGTCGAAACGTCGGCATATGTAAAAATAAATATTATCATTTATTTTGCCTTCTTTTTTGACTGACCACCCCAACTATTCTTCTCTTCATATATATATACATATACAGTGGGGCAGCTCAGTGGTAGAGTACTGAACTTCCAGAGTGGATAGGTAGCCCCTCCTGAAGCACACCCAGCCTATATAAAGTGGGTACCCTTAATTAAAATAATTAATTAAGGGGTAAACCTGACGGTTGAGCGTGATCTTAGTCAAGTTATCTCCTTGCACAAACTGAAAAACAATGCATGTTTTCCCTAAATAGCACTGAACCCAAGACCCTTCATAGGTTGTTGTGATACAATATTTTTTTGTTTTTTTTTTATGTGGAATACATAAAATATCACAAATTTAAATACATTAAATGATTTCATCAGAATGGTAAAACCAATGTTGCAATTTAATTTATGTACTATTAAAATTATAGTTTATTTAAAAAAAATGAAATTTGCCTATCAAGCCTTAAAAAAGCTTTTTAATTTTCTATATTTAACATTTAATTGATAAATAGTAAATAAAGTAAATATTAATGAATTTAAGGAACAAACGCAGCTTTGTAATGAAGAAATCAAATCATTGGAAGATCCATCTCACCCCAAAAATCATTATGTTTCATTGGCCATGGGGTGACCCAGGTAGGTAGACCCCTCTGGGCTACACTCAGCCTCTATAAAGTGGGAGAAAACCTGGCTGTTGAGCGTGATTTCGGTCAAATCACATTCTTGCACAACTGTAGATCAAGAAACACTGCTTTCCCTAAATAGTACTGATCCAAGACCCTTCATGGGTTGTAGTGGTACAGGTTTTATATATATCTTAAATATGTACATTAAGCCAGTCCTAAATTTTGGAATTATGTAAGGGAGAAGTTGGGAAAGTTTAATTTTGTCACCCCTTCTTTCACTCCTTCCCCCACCTTCAATAAACATCAAAAGTTTTATAACAGTATTTCAAGTAATATATTTAAAATAAGTGGCATCTAATTGACCCATTTTATTCCCTGATTCAAGATCGAAACAATCATAAATAAGAAACGAATACTTGTTATTTAGCCTAAAAATAAATTTCACTCTAAATTTTATCCTTCTTCTCCCTTCCTTTCGTCGAAAAAATTAGAACCCCTCGTCATGTATTAAATGACTTTATTTATTATCACACATGTGGATATTTTCTTTAACTGCAATAAAATGTTTCATTCATTTGTATTATCGAACGAACGAATACAACTGGATAGAGTGAAGGAGCTTTTAGATGAGATCATTACATGACACGTGAGAGTCGAGATCGATAATGACAAATCAAGACTCCACGTGTCCGGCCAGCCTGCTAATGGCGGACTCAGCAGGTGTCAGTGATAAGGAGTTGGCCCAGGTACCACTCTCTGCCTGGCACCATAGCCTCTACTTCAGGTCGATCGTCAGCCCGACCTTCCTTCTCTCCCTCTCTTAGCCCTTCTGTTAAGACATTTTTTTATTTTAATTTCTCCCGTTTCTTGTAAAATTGTTTCCTCAAAGTTAGACTTTTTAAGCGCTATATAATCACTTCTTGTCACGAGTGCTCTTCGTCCCGTAGAAAGTACTTCTTTTCATCTTAGGAGCTATGCTAACGATAGTAGATGTTTAAAATTAGTGGAAGAAGATTGTCGCACGCCAGTTTCTTATCTACAATGCGTCAAACTTATGTATATCTTTATGAAGTCAAATCATCATCGAGAAAGTTTTTAATATGGGATGATCTAGTTGCTCTTATGCCTTGTTTCGTATATTTTTAAATCGATAAAGTTGATAGTTAATAGATTAATTATAACCCTGTGCAGGAGTGCCCATTTCCACCAAGGTCGATGGCGTAAGAACCTACTCCTCCCCCCGCTCTTTCCAAGATATTTTATCGTTAAAATTTTCTTAAAAACAGAGCAAGCTAAAGTGAGATCAGAAAAATCGTAGCTAATATACAATTACACTTGCTGTGGTTTGGTCCATGTTTTTCCTTTATCTCTTTGTCCAAAAATTCATAATCCCGTCAAAATATGTTCCCCTCAAAAATTATGATGGCGCACCTTGCGCCATGAAACCTCCTTTTGGGCACCCCTGTCCTGTTGAATATGTGTTATTCATACAGTCCTAGTAGATTTTTCTCTAAACATCTAAATTTTTCTTAAACTTGGAATGTCCATATTTATTTTAGAATTGTTAAGTTTCACTACATATTAACGACTATATAAATTTCAAAGCTATATAAAAATATAAATTAAAAAAATTACTGAAAATAAAAATACTTAAAAAAAGAATCGGTCTTGAAATCTAATCCACCCCTGGAACAGTCCAGTTCTAATAAATGTCAGGATTCTTGAGACTCTTCGAACTACATATGTTTTGGTTAGGATTCTGCTTGATCTGTCAACTTCGTTGATTTCGTGCCTAATATCTCAAGATCTGTAGGTAACATTGGAAGAAGCGTGCTTCAAGTAATCTAAAAGACTAGGCACAGGCATGGGGAATGTTCTGATGAAGCCGAAAATCGTAAAACGGAGTAAAGCTAACAAAACAACTTATGGCCGACAAAAAACGTCTTCCGAAATTGTAACTGTATATTTTAGCCAGAATTAATCTGAGTCCTTAAGTAAATGGAATCTTCAATAATTTGTTATTGTTAATATCCGATGAAGATATTTTTAATAATAAAGATATTTTGTTTTGGATGCGTTTCCTAATTGTCCTACTCTAGCTTCGTTTCTCTGTATCACATCATATGGATTCTTCATAATACATCCGTTTTCACAATTACATCTAAAAATGCTAGTTTGTTACCGCTCCTTAAAAAATGCTTTCTCTTCAGCACTATGGTCCGCGTGGAACCTGGGTCTCCTTCACGATCCTTTACAACTCTGCTCGATCTTCTGCGGCAGCTTTCCACTGCCTGAAGCCAAGTTGTCTCAGATCGGCCTATACGTCATCTATCCACCCGTGTCGTAGTCTGCCTCTCCTTCCTTCTCCAGGTTGTCCGTACAGCACTTTCCTTGGCACTCTTCCCTCCAGCATCCTCTCCACATGGCCCAACCATATTATACGGGACTCCTCGATGAAGGTGACAATGTCTGCCGTACAAAAACCAAACCTTGTCAAATGAAAAAGAAAGTAAAAACAATGTTTAACTACTTACTTGTGACAGGTGGAGAGGTCAGTATTGCTCTATACTTGTTAATAGTTGGATGAGCAAGGAAAAACTCATGACATGACCAAAATGTAAAATCCATTTCTTTTTTTTCATTAATATATCGTCGATGGTTGAAATTGACTGAGTTACACTCACTACCAACCATTTTTCACCATTTTTTATTCAGTCCCAAGAGAATCAAGCATTCCGTGGTACTTTTTTTTCTTGCTACCCCTGTCTCGCCTAGAGGTCCAAACCTATTCGAACCAGGGTCGCTAGGCACGAGAATGTTAAAGTTTACGCTTTAATACACTCGGCCATCACGACATTAACATTAGGACCTACTATACGGCTGGACAATACTACTCTTGATCTATTAAAAATACCTACAATAAGATATCTCTGAACCAGTATAGTATATAGATAAAATTCCCATCAACCCTTTACTATCTAAAATCTCCTTATTGAATCCTGTCACTTCGATCATAAAAAGGTGGATCGTGAGTGTCATAAAATGGTGAGGAAATTCAGTTTCCTTCATATCAGTATTGCGTGTGTAGTAAATCAATATTTTGACAACTCTTCGTTATCATCTACAATCTCAGTCGTATAAATATGTTTTATGGGTTATCCATCTTTCGTTAGTCATGCATTCCATGAATGCTAATGTAGATATATACATGCATATTTGTATATCGTAATATAAATTATAAAACCACCTGGCATAATTTGAACAATTTTTG